AAACGGAGAGATGGCTAAGAAGTCCCGCACTCAAAAGTTTCTGCAAGAGTTTAAAATTGTTCCCTTTTCCTTTTGCTAAAGAAGAAGACAGGAATATCAATAATTATAGCTTGGGGGTGAGGGGATTCCCTATTTTCCCAAGATATGATTCTCATTGTTTATCTTATTCACATGAGGTTTGAAGAGTGAGGTATAATCATTCTTTTTCAGTAACTACGGTTCTTATTTCTGTAAAAGGCTTTGGGGAAAGGTCGGTAATATTTCCGAGGCCACTTCTACCCTGTTATCTATTTGCCCACTCCCTAATGTAAATCCTGAAATGTAATAATTCGTATAAACTTGTCGAGAAAAACGGCCTAAAATATTGTTAAATCATATAGACTTTAAAATAGTGGATTAGGCCCTCTCATAATATTACTATTACTCATTTCATTAGGACCGGTGCTGTTTAACAAAGTCATGGCATTTTTAAAACAGCAAATTGAAGCTGTTCTAGCAAAGCCTATTCAAGTGCATTACCATCATTTGGAAATGTTAGACAAGGGTGGCCCACTCCCCAACTCGCCTGAGTGATAAGACCCCCTTCCTTTGTGTGCTGGGCTGGACAGTCAATGACGGGTAAGATCAGGCACTGTTCATACCAACCTAAGGCAGGCCCTGGTTTGCCAGAATGTAATTAAAGGCATTCCTCGAGACCCATGATGGGTAAGGATGAATCAGTGACATGACAACCTAAGACAGACGCAGTCCCCTAAAGGATATTCCAAACTTCATTGCACGAATACTTTGTGCTCGCTATTATTAAAAAAAAAAGGTGGACATGTGGGAGTCTGCACGTCCCTCAGCCCATGGCCTCCTCCGCCGCCGCTGTTGGGTTTGGGGGAGGAGTGCTCGGACATTCAATCACCGCCACCAATGATTTGGCTGCCCGCCTCCAAGAAGCTATAGACGTCTCCGCAGAGTCCCTGGCATCTCTACAACGACAGATTACCTCCATAGCCCAAGTCGCTCTGCAAAACCAACGTGCATTGGACCTCATCACAGCAGAAAAAGGAGAGGCATTTGTTTATTCTTGCAGAAAAAAA